ATCGCACTCTCGCCTGCATTTCGCGCACTCGACACGCACGATCTCCGCAGAGGGTTGCGCGGGCACCCGGCACATCGCACTCTCGCCTGCATTTCGCGCACTCGACACGCACGATCTCCGCAGAGGGTTGCGCGGGCACCCGGCACATCGCACTCTGACCTGCATTTCGCGCACTCGACACGCACGATCTCCGCAGAGGGTTGCACTTTCGGTTGATGCTGTTCGTCCCACCCTCCGCCTTTAAGAGAGAATTTATAAAGTGGGGAAAAGTTTTTTCATTAGGACATCTCCCGTGCTAGCTCATTAGGACATCTCCCGTGCTAGTTCACTTGCATACTTACACTTGCATACTTACACTTGCATACTTCCACTTGCATACTTTGACAGCTTTCGCTCTTCCACTTACACAGGGCTACGTATAGCGTTCATGTTATTTATCCTGCCAGTGTGGTGAAAGTGTCAATGTCTAGGTGTGTCTGAGTGTAAGTGTCGAAGTGTCAGTGTTCAAAGGATTTTCCGGAAGAACCCTTCGCAATGCTTTCGGGAAAAACTGGACATGTCCAGTTTGCATTGGGCAGTTCCGACACCGCACTCGATCTCGGCTCACCGTCCACAGGTGGTGATGATGCCCAGCGGCAACTTCGCGACCGTCCGCGCGAGGGCCCGGACGGCGACGGACGGAGTTTCCATCTGGTTCTGGAAGAGCAAAAAGAAGAGAATGTCCAACAGAAGGAGCAAAGCACTGGATCTGGTGCTAGGTTGGAGGCCGCTATTGGGTTGCAGGCCATCGCTACTAGGTTGGAGGCCATGCCACAAGTAGCAAGAAGCTATGGATGTAGCGATGCACTTGTTACTAGTAGCTTCTATAGCTAGATTCTAGATAGTGACCTGACAAAGGACCCGTAACCTGGGGTACCCAACTGGGATAGTGGATAGTCGAACTTGGGTCCTTCACAACCTCAATCAGTGTCTTGGGCGATTCCAGATTGTCCCAGTACAGCTGTCAAGAACATTCACTAAAGGCGAAGCAAATCCACGCGAACCTTCACTGGGCGGATAGACCCGACCTCGGACGACCTGGCACGTCCTTAGTGCCACAAGGATGCTGGAAGAAATGGCGCAGAATACGCTCCCTGAAATAATCATGGGACTTGGGTTTCGCTTTGTCGGGTGGTTTTGATGTCCAAGTTCGCAGATTAAGCGTTGTCGTGCCCAATAAGCAGGAGATAAGCGGCCGAAGTTGAGTAAACCATGAGGGGCCAAAACATGTATTTCTAGTGTGAAGGTCTTCCGGATTTGCAATTCTCAGACGCCTCTTCCCATTCTTTACGCGCTCTGCAACACAATCCTGTTGTTTTGCTATGTTTTTTGCTGTCCATCAGCTGCTTGCACGGTTCTCGGATCCTGCATGATGTGACATGTACTGAAAGATGAAAGCACTAAATGTTTTGGGAGCGCGTGCGCTTAGCTCTTGAATCCTAGCGCAAAGGACCAGCTTCCAGCTGGCTTTGCGCGGTCCAACTATCCTACAAGCGGACTTCTGACGTTGCTGTTGGGCTCCTAGACGTACAACTCTGCCAGTAGCTACCTGTTACTACTAGTAAGGCCCTTGGTGCTAGTAGCTTCTTGTTCCTAGTGGTAAGGCCAGGAGCTACTAATAGCGTCCTTGCTCCTAATGCTGCTCGAAAAGTACAAGCTTGGCTTGTAGCGGCGTGCTTGCCGCGATACGCCGCATTGGCCCACGGCCATTTGGCACTATGTGTGGACCAACCTCCACTGACCTTCCAAAAACCTGCTTTCAGCCACGCTGCGCAATGCAGAGTTGTTGCACAGATACAGTCGGCAGCAACACCACCCCCAGCGGGATTGCGTGTTTCAAGCTGGCACCTAGGCAACGTGAGGGTCATGTCAGGTTCTACATTGCTGCGGCGGAACGCGGCCTTGAGGAACGCCATCACGTGCACAGTCCCAGCGCGCGCACCTAACACCCAAACAAACTCGGACTCTTTGGGAAGAAGGCTGTTTTCGTCCCATTTGGCAAATGTACGATGTCCTTTGGACCATGTGTGAAACTCTGCAATTGGAACATGATTGTGCTCCATCCTTCTGCAAATGCGGCGCGGCGGTGCGGCCAAGGTCGAAATTCCAGATTATCTGCAGCTGTGGAGTTTGCTTTGGGTAAGGAGCGGGAAGCAATGGGGAGCCGCTGCGATAGGTTGCTTTTGACTTCGGTATTCTACACCTAGATGAACTGAAGAGAATGATGTTTTCCTTCACACTTGTTTGGAATGCTGTGGTTGCTTGGCCAAATAGGAGAGGGTCAGGGTCAGAAACCCCATCCTAAAAACATTGCTTGGGGAGTCCACGGCATCGAACGGGTGATGAGACGTGAAATGGTGAGTTGTTGATGGAAAAGGGATGTCCACCTTTTTGCCACTTGAAATCAGCAGACCTGGACCCTCAAACGGCTGGTTGTACCTCCAAACAGCTGGGTGGTACAAGACCGGAACGCACTTTGTTCACACATCCAGACTTTGGAAACAGGTCCTCATCCCACAACCGATGTGGGACATGTGGGGGACGGCTTCAGATATGTTTTCTTCAACCTTTGGCATTTGGGATGATTGACTGACGAATATGTGTTTCGTTCCGTTCTTTCGTCGAAAGCACCGCACCGACCGCAGCGTTCGGATGTGTGATGTTTCCCTCCGAAAGGTCTAGAGCCAGGTTCGGGTTTCTGCTTGGGAAAGAACGAACCGCCGGACGGGGTTCGGGTCGACGGATCTGGTGTTCGGGCACAACAGAAGGTGTTTTTGGTGGATCAGGTGTTTTTCCCCGAGCTGGTGAAATCCCCTTTAGCCTGCGGAGTTGCGTTTTTCCGCGCTTCCGAAACCAGCAAATCCAAGTGTTCTCTCATGGGCACGTCCGAATCACAATGCTTTTGCAGAGGCCATGCGTGGATCTAAAGACGCTTGTGTGTAGGCACGAATCTCTTCCTGGAGCCACTGGAGTCCCAAATTGATACCTAAATTTGTTAAAGGGCGCATTTGAGTATAGTTTCCTGTTTTTGAATGTGTTGGATTACAAGAATGAGACCCCAAACTACCTCTCGTTCTCTCTTTGATTCTCTTTGCTGTTTTTTAGTACATATTATCCAGCAGGTGGGCGGTAGGGAAAGTTGTTTTTCAGTCCGCTGAACAAAAGAACCAAGATCTGTATAAAACGGTTGGATGTGCCCACTTGCAGTGCTATTTGGTCCAAAACCTTGAACTGCTCGCCTCGTGGCCCGCCTGACGCGCTTTATGAAGCTTTGCTCAGTGCCTTGGATGCACTGTTGCTTCTCAGAGCGCTGGGTAGGCTCGTCGACTTCCCGAAACTAGGGGGTCGCGAGGTCTGGGAGGTCTCTCATGTCTTGAGCTACACACCCATGAAGCATGCACTTGGATGAATAAAACTTCACATTTCACGACTATGGCAGCCATTTTTCTTTCGCAGGTTCTCCTTTTGCTGCTTGCAATGCCAGCGGACGTGCGGAACCCAGTCACACATAGCGTTTTCCAGGAGCGGGGGATGAGCTAAAAGGTTTGGGGCGCAGTTGCAGCGCTTAGGCCACGATGACGCAGCTTGCCCTTCCGCGACAGACAGCGAAGAGCGGACCGCCCTCCTGCAGAAGCCGATGACGCGATCATGAAGCCGATGTCGATGACGAGGATCACGATGACGCAGCGCAAGCAGAAACGGCTCGTGCTGGACCGACGGCCCTGCATTTCGCGCCGCCGGCGACGCATGGAAATGCCAACCACTATGGCCTGTGTGACTTCGGCGCCGGCGACGCATGGGCACTTAAGATTCTGACGATCAGTGTTAGAAGACTTGAGACGGAGTGCTCTGGAGTTTATAACTTAGGTATATATGTCAAAATGACCCAGTCCCAGGCAGGAGCTCCGAGTAGTCTTGGAAATGGCTTACCACCCTGATGGCAATCATCACCCTCCTTTGGTAGAAACGTGTTGTTTAGAAGCTGAGCCTGAGTTGCTGGGATATGAGAGTCTGATTTATAGTTTGCGCATGTTTGCGCCCTTTTTCCTGCGGCGAGCTACTATAGAAATTGGTATCAGATTATTAGGAGAGTCTCTCCAGATAGTCTCTCCAGATCTCTCCAGGCTGCTGCGGTCAAAAAGAGTCGCCTGATGAAACCTGAGGAAATATCTCTACGCATGGCACATCGGCATTATTCTACGCCAAAATGAATTGACACTCCCAGAAGACTCATATCAATGATTGGTTTTCCTGACCACGTTTTTGGAACGCGAGTAAAAAGGACAGGGTCCCCATCCTTAAAGGCGCTTGGGGGAGTCCACAGCATCCAAGTCCAAGCGGACCCCACTACCGACCGACCGAACCACCCGACGACCGATGGGAGTAGTGGCGCTCAAGCGGTCCGGACGACCTGGGCGAAGGGGTGGGATGTGAGCGAAGTCGTGTGGGGCACGACATGTCCGTTTCGTGCCCAGCTTCTAGTAAGAGGTGCCACGCTAGTAGTAACAGGTGCCTTACTAGTAGTAACAAAAAGCTATTAGAATTAAATCAAAATAAATTAATAGCTTCTTGTTACTACTAGTAAGGCACTTGTTACTACTAGCGTGGCACTTCCGACTTCATCAGCTCCGGTGTCCGACTTCATGCGAGTGCCACTCGATCCGCGACTCCAGGGCTGGTGGAGCGAAACGAAAAGCCAAGAGTCTCCAAATCTCATCAAGACCCCTCTTGAAATCAGCAGACCTGCACCCTCCAACAGCTGGTTTTTGGACCTGACCCCGGTTGGGTGGCGGATCTCTTTCGCACAGGATCCTTCGTGCAGAAGATCCGGACCTTGGAAACAAGTCTTCATCCAACAACCGATGTTAAGAATGTCACAACCGTTGAGGATTTCAGGTGTCAGATCATTATAGTTCCACCTTTACTTGGCATTTGGGATGATTGAACCTACTGACGAACATTTGTTAGTCTGTTTGAAACCGAGTGAGGATGGACATCCGTCGAACCAGGCAGGCTCCGCTTTCCAAAGCGGAACCGCCGGGCGCTCGTTCGCTCTGGCGCAAGGCCTACGATGTTTTGCAGGGCTACTACACTCCCGAAAACGAAAATGGACCCGGGTCGAACGGCACCCTCAAAGAATGTTTTCCTTTACAAACCAGTGGTTTTCAGGGTCTATGTTAGTTTTCAGTGGGGCATCGCTGGTAACAAGGGCATGACTAGTAGCAGCAAGAAGCTACTAGTCATGGGTCCCATCACCAAGATGCAAAGCCATGCAAGAGTTTGGGTGCTTCGCATGCAGAGAATTGGATCGTCGCTGTGACATTGAAAAACACCCCAAATTGACACCCCAAAAACCCGATAAAGCCGGAAATGCCCGTTTTGAGGTCCGTTTCCAGGTCGTTCGTGGCTACGTCATCAGTTGTGACCAACACCTGCGCAAACCGTGCGGCTCGGTTCAAGCACCTTTGGTTTTCCAGAACTCACGCGAAGCCCCAAGAAATATCGCGAAGCCTTCGCGAAGCCTTCGGCGACCATGAAGAGAGCTGCTATCTTTGCGTTGCTCCCGCTGTTGGGCCAAGCGACATTGGCACCCGACGACGAATGCGATGCGCAGACAGAGTCCTGCGCGCTGTCTGCGCTGCAGCGGGTGGCACGGCGGCACAGCAATTGCCACTTCGTTCGCAGCGAGAACATGGCAAGCCCAGCGGACTGCATGCAGGAAATGAATGGACATCAAACGGGAAAACGGAAACGTGAAGAACCGATTCGATGTGTATTTTTTGCATGGTTTCCAGTTGTCAGTGGTGAAAACCCTCAGCTCGCTTCCGAGTGCTGAGGTGAGGTGAGTGTGACTGCACAGTCCAAGAGTTTCTTGGAAAACACGGTTTTCGCTCACACGCTCGAGTCGACACCGCCGGTGAAGATTTTGCTGTTTCACCACCCATGTCGACGCCTGGCTGCTCGGAACCCCCCCTATCGGGGTTCCACCGGGGTTAGCCGCGGAGACGGTTGGAAAGCTTCGGAACCGGTTCCGAAGCCGTGGTTTTCTGCGGGTTTTCTGAGACAGAACTCGGAGGTGCCACTCCCAGGGTGTGGTGTGTGGCCGCTGGGCTGGGAGGCCAATGTGTCAAACAGGGCCGTGTGCGATCTCAACATCAATCAGCCAAAGAAGAAACCGGAGAAGCCTGGAGAAGGATTTCTGAAGCAGACAAACGGGACGTTCGATCTGAAAATCCTTCAAACATGCCACCGAAGGTGCGGAAGGGTCGTGAAAAACCGCTCTCATTTTCCAAACTCTCATGAAGTTAAACCATCCATGCCATATGTTTTTGATGGTATACTTTTATACGGTATAGGGTGGTCTCTTGTAAAGACAGGGGATGCCGAGTTGACTGACTTGGCCATGGCACATACTTTGAGATGTTGGGGATCACGTTCCACGGTGGGGTGGACAACGATCCTTGCAATCACCCAGCAACGTTCTTTTGAACGAGCGGCGAACGTGGGGTAGGACATCGCGTTGAAAGAACGTCGTTTGCAATTCATGTTTGAAGTCGTAAATATGGTTCCTACAGTTGTTGTGGACGACCTTTGGAAGATTTTGGAAGTATGCATGGCACCATGTTTCCCCAGCCGGCGATGTGGGTGAACTCATGCCACGGTTGTTTCTTCCATTTCTTCCGAGGCTACCTTCACGAGTGGTGCAATCATGCTACGGTGGAGCAGCGATTTCCTTCGTGCTACCCACAGGGGGCCGCTCAGCAGCAACAAGACCTCGGCGCTTTCGCCGACCTCGCGAACCGACGCCGAACCCGCCCTGTGGCCGCCGGCCGACAGCCATGCGAAACCGTCGTGCTCCCGGTGTGCCCCCGTGTCACGTGTGCACTGCGGTGGCCCGGTGCTGCGGTGTCAACCCGTTGTTCCGGTCGTTCGAGGTGCGCGAGTCGCATCCCATGGGCAACATCATCGTCCAATTCCCGGCCATGGCCGAGTGCCCCGTGGCCCGGTCTCCCTCCTGGTCGATTGCGGGTGCCTTGACCGGTGGTCTCTGCGTTTCGGGGCGGGGTAGGCAGGCGAGCGGAGGCGAGCGGTGATGGAGTGGGTTCTCAGCGACTTTGGTAGAGGTTTGATGTGGAAGCCTGCG